CCTATCGTTTTTTTTTTTTTTTATCGCTTGGAGCGCACGAGAGGGAATCCCTATAATGTTCAAAGAACATCGTGCGTTCCTAGGGAGGATAGGGACAGGAGGTAGGTATCGGAATTTTTTTGAACTTTTGGAGATTATATGTTGTTGGGAACACTTCCACAGGCAATGAATTCCAGAGCCTAGCCGTTCTATGGATGAAGGAGTCTTGATAAAGTGCTCGATAGAAAAGTGAAAGGTCGCCGACCTTTCTACGGTGTTCTAATGATGTCAAAGAGTGAGTGAGTGTGGCGTCACCCACCAAGCGAATGGCTCTTCTCTGGATGGAATCTAAGAGCATCAGCGTATGTTTTGGTGCTGAACCCCATATGTGGGAACAGTATTCTAGAACAGGCCGTATCTGCGCTTTGTAGATCATGAGAAGCTGTTGAGGTGTAAAGTAGCTTTTCGCACGGAACAAGAATCCGAGTTTTTGGGAAGCAGCTTTTGCGATGGATCTGACATGATTATCCCATGAAAGAGTGTTGCTGATGGAAATACCGAGCATAGATATAGTGGGCTTGGTGGGGATGGTGGAGCCAGACATTACAATATCGGGCATACTGAGTTCCGCCTTTCTAGAGAAAATGCAGGCTTGAGTTTTGGTGGCGTTGAATTCAACTAGGTTGTTTGTTCCCCAGGCTGTGATTTCAGCAAGATCTTCATTGACAGCATTGACCTGCCTGCGCCGTGAGGTCTTAGTTTCCTGGGAAGAAATGGGAATTCTGGAAGAGAAAGCAGTATGGATCTGCAAAGCTGTGGATAGGGCAAGTTGTTACTCCCAACAGATCATTGATATGAAGCAGGAATAATGTTGGTGCCAAAATTGATCCTTGTGGAACGCCGGAATTGATGCCAATGGTATCAGACGATACACCGTCCACCACCACGTGAAGCGATCTGCCTGAAAGAAAACTCGATAAGAGATGGCATAGCTGAGGTGGTAAGCCGTATGATGGTAGTTTGTGGAGGAGTCCTTCGTGCCAAACACGGTCGAATGCTTTCGATATGTCCAACGCGACAGCTAGAGATTCCCCGTGTTTTTCTATTGAAGATTGCCATAAATGGGTGACGTAGAGGCAAGTAGATCTCCAGTAGATCTTCGGTGGCGAAAGCCGTATTGTCTATCATTGATGATTCCTGAGCTCTCCAGATATTTGATAAGCTCAATATTGATGGCTTTCTCCATCACTTTGGAGATTACTGATAACAGGGCAATGGGCCTGTAGTTGTTGGGCAGGTTCTTGTTCCCTTTTTTGGGAATTGGTTGGACTCTAGCTGTCTTCCAGCATGATGGAAAAATACCCGATACTCTTCTGATAGTGCTAAGACATTGTGCTTCGCTCAACCTGTACAATATACTATATTGTGACATTTGACTGAAAATATATAATTTTAATTTTGTGTTCATTTGACTTCCTAATCCTGTAAGAATAAAAATGAAATTTCATTTTTAAGTCAATAGGAAATTCAATAATAATTTCTTAATGATAATTGATTGCAACATTTTCCTTTTTCATATATGAATATTTTTATTTAATCGCGTTTACCCTTAAATAAAAGTAAAAAACCAGAAAATATTTCAAATAATGCTAGCGCTTCCCATTAGCGAACATAAGATAGAGAGTGATAGGTATCCGTAAACACTGCGTGTTGCCTGAACAATATTTTTTGCCTCACTCGTCGTTCACAGAGGGTCCCTTCCAGTTGTTTATATTGAGTTCATTGGTCGGGAGACGCTACGCTCGTGTGGGGTGTAACACACCCCAGCGCCCGTAAACTCTCACAGAACTTTCTGGAACATGAGTTCTCGCGCCTGCGCCGCACACAATAACTTCCAATTGTTTATCCACCTCTGCACCTACGCAAAAACGGCAGTCATCTATCGCATCTTCAAGAGAGCGCGTCGCTTCAAAGCAATGAACTCAATATAAACAACTGGAAGGGACCCTCTGTGGACGATGAGTGAGGCAAAAATATTGTTCAGACAACCCGCAATGTTTACGGATACCTATCTCTTTCTTTCTTATGTTGGCTAATGGGAAGCGCTCGCATTGTTTGAAATATTTTCTCGTTTTTCGCTTTTATTTAAGAGTAAACGTGATTAAATAAAAATATTCATATAGGAAAAAGGAAAATGTTGCAATCAATTATCATTAAAAACTTATTATTTTTTTTTCATTGACTTGAAAATGAAATTTCATTTTCATTCTTAAAGGATTAGGAAGTCAAATGAATACAACATTCCCAGCGAGCACAAAAACATCTCAGAGATGTTAAAAGTACGAGATTGCGAGACATTGAACCTCCACTGCGATGTTCTCTGTTCACACATGAATAGAACTATTATAGAACAGCCAATGTCCGCCGCAGGCGGCAATTATCGAGATGTCCTTGATATGTCACAAAACTACCTTCTCCCTAGTTCTTTTTAAAGCCTTTTCATGAACACAACAAAACATTTTCAACGCGTCTTGCGCACATATTAAATCGCTGTAAAAACTTTTCTGAAGCCTTTTGTCAAAATGAACTTTTGCATTAGGATTCCATGCATTTCCCTTGAATGAAAAAATGCATTAAAAATAGATTGAACATACAAATATTTTCTTGATATGAAATTACCTTCTTAATCGGTTTCTGAGTATTGCTTTTACTATCCACACAGAGATATAATTGGAAATAGGTTTCCCAATTTTTGAAATGTTCTCCACAATGCATAATTTTCCAACTGCGGAGAAGCTGATGTGTATTGATAAATTCGTACTATATATTGATTACACTGAGGCACCGAACAACACATCTTGCATCTGATGGTCATTATTACAAACTAAATAAGTCTTCTAACACAATAAACTTCACCAAATTCCTTTCTGCTCGTTACCAGCGTGATGTAATCGTGACACGCTGCAAACGCGAATGCCAATTGCGAACAAGAAGAACAAAATCGAAAACAAATCAGAATTCATCGTATTGTGACGTAACCATGAGACGTTGTGGTGGGGCAAACAAAGAAAGGGCACAAAAGAACAAAAACGATACTTTCAATATCCTTCTATAAGACCTCTTTGGGAAGTGCATATTACGCCTCAAAATAACATCCTTATGCCTACATTTCTAAAACATCCCAGGGATACCTCTCAGTAGGCAAACAAAGAAATGCCACAGAAGAACAAAAACGATACTTCAATATCCTTCAAAGACCTCTTTGGTCAGTGCATATTACGTCTCAAAATAACATCTTCATGCCAACATTTTCAAAACATCCCAAAACATCCAGGGAGTAGTAGTAGTAGCTAGTAGTAGTAGTTTTATTGATCCATTAAAACGAGCTTACAAAAGCCATTGGACAAGTCAGAATACATGAAATATACAAATAAACATTTAAATAATTCACAATAAAGTAAAATGACTAAAATATGATAAAAATATTACATACAAAAATCATCAGTTCTGCAAAAATGTGAAAAACTCATCAACTGTATATGGGCTAATTTCAAAGAGGAGATTTTTCAATTTACATTTAAACACTTTCTCATTACTTGAACATTTTATATTTTCTGGAATAGCATTATATGCCCTGAGTCCCAAAGATTCGAAAGAATTGAGACACAGAGACAATCGTGTCGTAGGCAAATGGAATTTGTTTTGGTTCCTGGTATTGTAATTGTGGATATGATTATTTTTTATGAAATTATCTCTATTATTGTGTACAGGGATGTTGGATGTTTGTGCTCGCTGGGTTGAAATTATATATTTTCATTCAAATGTCACAATATATTGTACAGGGTGAGCGAAGCACAATGTCTCAGCACTATCAGAAGAAAAAGAAAAACGATAGGAAAAATTTTAAAACATCTTCCTTAGGACTCAAGTTATGAACGTCCACAGATGCATCCTGAATATAAATTGCTAGCTAGTTGCAAAGGTCAAAATGACTGCAAAAAAGTTTAATTTTTTTAATGGGGGTACACCAACCCTGCGAAGCCGGGCCGGTCAGCTAGATTTTTATAAAATCCGCTAGATTTTATTGACATTCTGATCAAAAGGAAGGAACCTCTATTATCAGAATGAAAACAGAAAATGTTACCTATTTAGTTTATGTTCTTAATTACAAGTTTCCAAACATACCTAAAGAATAAGAAACCTATATTTTGTTCTGGAATGCATACATATATTATTATTATCATTATATGGAACCTTGACTTTTCATATGAAGTGCTGGAGAATAAAAAAATATCAAAACTTCAACGCTCTGTATATTGGTAACGACTAACGAAGCGTTTGCCGACACATACCGGGTGATTTTCAAAAGTGGCTCACCCCTATAAATTTTTAGTTTATACAGATAAACAAATGAAATTCGGCGTGTAAGTATAGTACATAAATATGCATTATTTGGCGTGTTCAATTGTTTTCTGTCACTTCCGGTTTGACCAGAAGTGACCCATATTATCTTATTTTAAATGGGACTTCCTGTATATTTTTACGTATTTCTGTAGAGAATAACATTCTGAGTGCAATGACATCCCATTGCCACTTTTTGACATTTATCGTCATGAAATTTTCATTTTTCAATTTCCAATCTAGAGTGCCATGAATGAGTTAAAACAGTTGATTTTGATTCATGTTGCCTAGGAAAAATGATTTTGATGAATCTTTACTTTTCATTATTTGTTTCACAGGTTCATTCAAAATTCACAATATCGTAATTATGATGTTAACTCATTTTTTTCGAATATCTGGAAAGGGTATTTTGTTAGCAACACGTTGATACTACACAATCGATATTTTGAATCAATATCCAGTATCATGATCAGTAGATTGAAAATTTCAGGATGTTAAATGTCAAAAAGTGGCATATGGGGTGTCATTGTACTCACAATAATGTTATTCTCTATAGAAATATGAAACAATATACCGGGTGTCCCATTTGAAATAAGAATTAAGAAGTATTGATTAAATATAGGTTTTCCTCTCTCATCTTGAGATAATATTATATTATTATGTTATATTCATAGTTACATTTGAGAGTACAAACTTAAAATCTAAAGTAAATGCAAGAGTAGTTTATCATATATTATAGGAATATAATTGTATATTATATTGTATGACATCCATCAACATCTATCTTCCAAATAATTGCCTGTTTTTGTCAGATTTAACCAATTCAAGAAGACGTGCATGATATGGATGTCTCACAATTCCTGGATCATTATCATTAACAATTTCGATTCCCTGATTTCTTCCAGTGATGTAGGCAGCTATCAACTTGTCTGCAGCACTTTTTTGGGCCACTGGACACTTCCACCCACGATACCCACTCAAAGACAATTCTCCTCCTACTCTAATGAGAAGCTCCTGAGCTATCCAAGCTAAGTTTGCATAACAAGTGGTCTTAACAATTCCTAAGTTACGTCTTAAGGCATAATATACATTTCCATCAACAACAGTTACTCCATTGAAGTAATTCACTGTATCTTCAGGAAACATATTGAAGATGATACCCCAATTGAAGTCATCATACTTTTTAATTGCTCTTCCAATGGTTATCAAAGATGTTAATCCTCCTGGGAACGTCTGCATCATAGTAAGTGTAAATCTTAGTGCATTTTTGGGGATTTGGTTTTCCCATATTCTTCTCATCAATAAGTGTATATTGGCATCATCAATTTGTCCTCCGAATTGCTGATAAAAGGTGTATATATACTTGTGGGCTATATCTACTTGTATTTTTAAATCTAGCATGATTGTATTCTTAATTTTTTCCAAGTAGACATCACTAACTATTGCTCTTTTGTGGACAGCAATGACTGCATTCACTATAATATCTAGTCCCAAAATTTTCATCTTGCCAGACACCTCAGTGGCGATGAAATATAATACTCTCATAGCTGACTCTATAGAAGGAAGTGTACCAGGACGAGTAATGTCAATATCAGCCAACAGTGGCCAGTCATCTGCAATTGGGTGCTCTTCAGTTTGTATAATATTCTCGAGGAATGGTTCTGGAAAGAAATCTTCTTTTGCCAGCATGATTCTTTGATACTTCTCCCTTGTAGCATCTGGACTTATCTGGGCTAAATTTGCCTCTCTATATACTAGTCCATACACGATTTTTCTGAACTCCAATCGTGCCTTCTCCTGATCTAGAAATAAATCTGCTGGAAGGGCAGGACTTAAATACTCTGCCATCAAGATAGAAAACACCGAATCACGGTCAGGTCTCTGCCTTGCTTTCAAAGCCCTGCCATGATAGAGAATGTAAGCCATTGTTGGAGCTAAGGCAACTGTTGGATCATCAGTTGATGTCCAATCATTCGTATACGGATATATCCCAATATTTCTGAGAAGTAGACCTTCACCACTATAAGCCATGGAAGATTTCAAACATGCAGCCCAAAATGTCGGATTATCTAATCCTCCTGTTAGCCGTAGTTTGAGATGGTCAGCAGCCATTGTGTTTGTAGTCTGATGTCTGATCACAGTAGAGAGCTTACGATGGAAATAATAATTTTGTCCATAAAACACAAGCAAAGAGGAGACTAATCTGATCAACACTATAGAACTGTAGGCTGTAGGGGAATCCCAGATTTTTATTTTTCAAGTACAGAGTTCACGGAAACAAGAGTCTCGAGATCATACCCGTGTGTTAACCGAACACGCCCGATCGTTACCTAAGCGGTGGGGAGACCGAAACGTAAGCAGGCAGTCATGATACAATGAGTGGGCAGGCAGCTTCTCTCATGCTGTCTTTGTTTTTGTAGTACGGGGTGGGCCACCAACAGTTTTCTTGATCACATTTCAACATTTTTTTTTTTTTTCGAATAAATAAGAAACATTTGATAGGCATCAAGTGATCTACTGCGACCTATCAGATAATGAAAGCGATGATTTGATTTGCAATAATTCGCTATGTCCGAGGCTATGTCACGACGCGTCCTACATGTAAATAGCGAACCACTCATCGAAAATCATGAAACTATATGTACATATTATATGCTTATGTTTTGTTGGCGACGACGCTCGTTTTATTCAAATTATTTTCGATAATGTTCATCTGCTTCACTAGAAATTATTATTAGTAGTTATGTAGTACTTAGTAGTATATAGTATAGTAGCATCTTTGTTATTCAAAATGGAACACCTTATATTTTATTACATTTTTCGATTCTTCTAATTGAGCTTTGATTTCGTTGATCAAGCTCAAGGTTTTTTTGTATCGAAATTATACAATACCTATATTGATTTGTCAAAATGGCTTACATGTGTCCCTATCCTAACATTCTATTTACTGTCTACTGATGCCATTTAATTGAAACAAATACAGGGTGGATCAGATTTCAGAATTATATAAAAGAAGTACTATAGTATGCCTACTAAAAAAATATATATATTTGAAATAAACAAAACAAATATATATATCACATAAAAAAACACACTCTAATATTCAACATGAAATAAAATTCAATCCCACTGGATGTATTTAAAAATATAAACAGTGTGCATGTCACTTCTATAATGGAATATCAACCCGTATATCTAACGTTACTGTTCTAATTTAAGGAGCGATAGATAAATATACCAACTATGACCAAAGTGAGGTAACCTTCAGTGAAAAACACTGCTCTGGTCATGGACCCACCAACATTTCCGGAAAATGATATTAGGAGGCAAAATAGGTTAAAAATCACTTCGGATTCGAAATCAGGACGTAACCCTGTACCTCGAAAACGAAGCAAGTTTAGGACACATGTTTATATGACCTTTATTCATCATATTATATCACAAGTGATCATCCCTTGAATTATTTCGGTGTTATTTAGATACACCCTGTATAGATCATTCTTCATCCCAACATTTTTCCCATAGCGAAGTTCAGCAAATACCGATGGCGAGAGCACTATGTTTATTGATTTAATGTCTACCTATAATATATGTAAAACAAGAAGGCACAACTACTAGTGTTCCGTTTCGAAGTACCTACATTAAATTGACAAATTTGACTCCAAAATAATTCAGGCACGCGCCAATATTCATAACGTAGTTACTGATGCCCGTTTACGTTTTCCCACCGCTTAGGGAACGATCGGGCATGATCGGGCGTGTTCGGTGAACACACGGGTATGATCTCGAGACTCTTGTCTATAGACAAGTAGGCTGTAGGGGAATCCCAGATTTTTATTTTTCAAGTACAGAGTTCACGGAACACTATAGTAGGGACGGACCTACGTGAAGTGGGCTGCCAGAGCTGGCTACCAGAATTTCCGAATTTCCCCGACCGACCAGTGGCACACGTTTCTCCCCTTTTTGGGTAGGGAATACCGAAATTCCTCAACTGCTTTTGTTTGCGATGATGCGATGTATGTATTTAAGCTCGTCGATGAATATCTAATCCATTATTATCAAAATTGATATTAAGTGCCCTAGAGCAGCCTACTTGAAAAAAAAAACAATAATTAGCATTATTGGGAAAGCACTGCACAGCTGCTTTTGGGTCTCGAATCATTCTCTATTGATTCAATAGAATAATCATTCCTTACCAAATCATGTATGAAAGACTTTAAAATTTCAAAAATATTTTATTTTCGATGCATTGGCAAAAAACTGCTCAGCTGCTTTCGGGCCAGGGAGATCGGTAATCATGTGTAGAATCATGCTATCAGAAAATAATTCCCTGCGGAATCGTAAGGTAGACTCCACACGAAAAAAAAAAAGATTTTTCGAAAAAAATTGTTTTCGATACTTTTGCAAAAAACTGCTCAACTGCTTTTGGGTCAGGAAGATAGGTAATCATGTGTAGAGTCATGCTATCAGAAAATAATTCCTTGCCATATCGTTTGGCAGACTCCACACGAAAAAAAAGATTTTTCGAAAATATTTTTGTTCGATACTTTTGCAAAAAACTGCTCAGCTGCTTTTGGGTCAGGAAGATAGGTAATCATGTGTAGAGTCATGCTATCAGAAAATAATTCCTTGCCATATCGTTTGGCAGACTCCACACGCAAAAAACAGATTTTTCGAAAATATTTTTGTTCGATACTTTTGCAAAAAACTGCTCAGCTGCTTTTGGGTCAAGAAGCTAGGTAATCATGTGTAGAATCATGCTATCAGAAAATAATTCCTTGCCATATCGTTTGGCAGACCACACGCAAAAAACAGATTTTTCGAAAATATTTTTTTTCGATACTTTTGCAAAAAACTGCTCAGCTGCTTTTGGGTCAAGAAGCTAGGTAATCATGTGTAGAATCATGCTATCAGAAAATAGTTCCTTATTGCCATATCGTTTGGCAGACTCTACACGCAAAAAACAGATTTTTCGAAAATATTTTTGTTCGATACTTTTGCAAAAAACTGCTCAGCTGCTTTTGGGTCAAGAAGCTAGGTAATCATGTGTAGAATCATGCTATCAGAAAATAATTCCTTGCCATATCGTTTGGCAGACTCCACACGCAAAAAACAGATTTTTCGAAAATATTTTTTTTCGATACTTTTGCAAAAAACTGCTCAACTGCTTTTGGGTCAGGAAGATAGGTAATCATGTGGAGGACATCGAGAATTTGCAACTAATTCGCCAAATTTTAAGGCTCTACGATTTTCAATTTACATAAAACAAGTGAACTCAGAAATAGATCAGCAGAATCAATAACTTTTTTTACCCGAGGCACTAAATAATAAGACGCTTATTTCTTCCGTTATATATATTTTTATTGAAAATAGAATGGAGGATCAAGTTTCGTAGATGATCATCTTCACTGGAATCCATGTTATTCAACAATAAAATATTAGTATAATATACTACAAGGTGTCTCAATTCGATTCCCCCCTACCCTCAAAAAAAGCCCTGTACAATTATATACACCTTAAGCGGCTTTCACAACCAAACTTTTTACTTTTCCTATTCTGATTGGTGAAGCAAAATCTAGAATAAAATGACGCAAAAGGTTGGATATTTTCAGCTTTTCGCGTTGCAAGATGCCAAGATCTGTGAAAATTGTAAACATAGACAAATACTAAATAACTAAATAACACTCAAAATCCGTGGAGATGATTTCGAGTTTTATTTAGTTATTACAACTACACTCCACTTTGAGAAATGTTGGACTTCTACCAGAGATCAAATAGTAAATACTTAACCTATTCTCACATCTCAATGATGGTCTAACCCAATATTTCCCTAGGGTCCCTTGATGTAAATTGACAGGGTACAGACAGATCCACGTCTCCTCTCACTCTAAAGTGTTTGTGAAACAGCTATACAATGAACTCAGTTGTTTACATTCAGATCATTGCAGTTATATAGTTCCATCTTTATTCATTTCTGGGGATGAACACTAGATTTTTGACATTTGTTGTTTTTTAGGTTATATTGAGGACAATGGCGTTTCATACGTAATTTCCACATGTAATTTCTTATTCAACTCAACATATCTCCAGCATAATCTTTGTGAGGCAGTGAGCAAATTTTTCTGAAAGTTCAATACATTTTACCAAACGGAACTGTTCTTAGGCAGTACCTATCAATAAGTGAATTTTGATTTTAGACTAAGCCTAATGGTTGAGAAATGGTGAAAAATTTTACGTAGGCATTTAAACTAATGTGCTAATATGTCACGTGTGCTGTATGTAGGAATTTATATTTTCATTTTGTTTATAATAATTATATTATATTGTTTGCATTGAATTTTATTGTTTCCCCTACGGTGAATTTATATATCACTCGGTGTTTCAATATTCAGTTAGGATTACGTATTATCGAGAATGATAGTGGTATCCAAGGTTAAGAAATAATAACAAGAAAGGGGCAATTCCGAGAGACGTTCGGATTATACTATTTATGGAAGTTTTGGTTAAGATATTGAAGAATCCCATAGCTAAATAATAGTAAAAGACGAATAAAGACGTGGGGAGCATCTTAGTCGAGCCGCGACGGACGTAAAGAGATCCCTGAAAGGTGAGCAGATCAAGCTCAATATTGTGACGTACTGTCAGTGTTCCTGTGACATTGGTTGTCCGAATAAACACTTTCACTTACCCCCTTGGACTATCATTCACCCTAGACAACATATAAATCCTACATTTTGGGGGCTCGTCCGGGATAAAGGGATAAAGGATAATAGAATATGCGATATTGAGGATGGAAGATGGAATATAGACAGTTGTGAACGAGTTGACGTATGATTTTTGGGCGTTTGTCAAACTGAAAACTCTGGGAGGCACAAAGAAGATATTCAACGAAAGTGAACTCAGAGACGTGTTTGCTGAAGACGACTGTGAGACGACATTCAGTTGCTGCAGCCTACGAGCAAGAGTGTTCCATAGGAAAAGAAATGTTGCAAGAACTGAGAGGCAAAAAAGACGTATTCACTTCACTCATACACACTCATGGATTCTACAAGGTATGATGCACATTTCCTTCAATAAATTGTATCGAGAACGAGAAGAGCCATAAACGAGTTTGATAATACAGCGGATATTGATAGAAGATATTATCGTGAAGCAGTTCGAAGAAGGCCAACATTTAATCTTTAATATTGTTTAATTGTTCAATTTCAATTCCATATCTGTGAACGTTACAGTATTTGAGTT